CATGGCATTCGGTCAAGATGAACAATCAACTTCTTTCTAGCTGGGTCAAAGTCGTTTTTTGGACCATGTACTAAAATAAATAACTGTCACCAGACAAATAATGCAAAAAAAATATTTTTTTAAGGCAACAGTGACTTGTATTTGACATTACCATGCGTTTGCATTACCCTTATGTACTACATTATTAAAAGTGGGTAAGACATGAAAATATGAACAGTCAAAATGACCGATAGGACAAGAAGTTTGCTGTTCAACAAGAATCTGTGACAATTCATTGTCAGTTCATCTGCACTATTTTAGAACCCTGCATATTCTGTTGTACATTCAGTAACTCTCTCATCATCATCGTCATTATCATAAAAATAATCTTACTAACGTGATTCAATAGATTGCGCTGTACAAGACGAACCATCAACCACACACTCAAACAAACGTCCCCCTTTTTCCCCATTTTCTTCAAACTCAGGTGCACCAACAAAAATTCTGAAAAAAAATTCATAACAAATGTGTTTGTCACATCCAATATGATTAGAATAAATATTTTGAAACATAAATATTTTAAAGAGACTACTGAAACCACATATTTATTAGGCAGTCACATCTGGTTCTCATATTACAATATACATTTTGTCATGCTATTAAAAATGATAGTTATACTGAGATAGATTAATTCTGTTATATGAGTTCCCTTCTAGACAAAGAAATTTGGAGTGTTAAAATATTTGATATTGTGTTTGCTTATTTCCAAAAAATGACAACACATGCTACAGAATCAAGGGCGAAAGTTAAGTTCAAAAAAATGAGTTTAAGATGTTTTTATTTATTTAATAAAACGTAGTCCAAATAACACATAATTGTAACTGAAATTTGAGTTTAGAAGATGTATTTCTATGGATTATGTTTTATTTTATGAAATTGTCATCAAGTTAGGGGCTATTTTCATTAAAATACACTAAAACATGAATAATATTTAAATTACACAGCAGGGTTTGCAAAATAAAGTAAATAACAAGTTTCTTCTTTGTTGCATTTAACGTAAACGACAACTATTTTTACATTTTTTAATGCAAACATTTTTCGGCAAACTTATGCCATCTTCAGTGTGGTATAATGAATGAAGATTTGAATAGAGTTAATATATAATGAAATCTGATACAAGACATGTGTATAGACAAAAGGGGTGGAAACGGAAGTTATTTACAATTATGTAGTGATTAGAGGTGTTGAGTATTTACTAGTTAAAGATAGTATTGACATGCTGAATTTGTTTGTTAAGATTAGGCTTGAGTTTTTTGATGTACAGTGCTTCTTTTAGTTTTAAAGAAGAAGTAGTGTGGGCAATGTTTAAAATACGACAGCAGGATTGTGAGTATTTAGATACGATTTATATTCGATTATATAATTCGAAGATACAATTTATATTCCGGAGAGGGAGAGGGGATTAGAATATTTAGTTGCAAAAATTGTGATGCACTTTTTCCACCTTAATTTGTAACCAGTGTCACATGACATTATGTTAGAGATACAGTGTACAACATACTACAGAAAATCATTGTGAATCTGATTGTTTAGCTGAAGTCTAAAAGTGGTTTCAAATAAATCCAAAAAATTTACTTGGGAACCAGAAGTACACGGCTGACTGGCTGAATGCAAGATGACAAGAAATGAAATGATCTAAATTACTAAAAAAATACAATACCCAAAAGCCTTAACAATATATCTGTCTTTGAAATAATAGTAAACCACCCAGGGCTTTTCCTAGCATTAAATAAAGTTTAATGTTTTAAATGGTCTGTTGTCAAATCATTCATTATTACACTTATGGTGATCAAGGAAATAAAGTTTTAAAGTTTATACCAAGTTTGAAATACACGCAAAGCCATGGGCGTCATTTGTCATTTATCCAGTCTTGCTAAAATTATTCAAAATATTTACAATTGTGCAGGAAACAAATTACAGAGGGAGCTGAACTTGTCAAATGTATATGGAGATTTTGTTAGTGTACAGGAACTTGGTCACATCCTCAAATATGACGATCAAAGCAATTAAGATATCAATGAAAGACGTTTTCTGTATAAGAATTGAAAGTAGCAGTTTTTTATAAATTATGTTATGGGAATGGGTATCACAGGATAGACATTACTTCGTTTAGTTCTTATGATATACTGAAATCTCCCATCAAAAGAACTTGCAATATGATTATACCAACAACCGGTTCTGATGAATGAATCAAGATGGTATTTTGATAAAGAGTATCTATACGATTGGCTGGCGCCTCGCATATTTCATATAGCAAATAATACATAGAAATTTTAACACAATACAATTTACAAAGGTTGTACAGGGTCCAAATTAACCAAAATTATGTGATGACAACATACTTACGTTGGTTGGCCTGAAAAATCCCGTCCAGGAGAAACCTTTCCACTGTGTAAAGTCAAACTGTAGCCAAACATAGAATCTTCCTTTCCCGAAAACACCTTTGCATTTGTAGTTTTTATGTCAATTTGCTCAATTTTATAACATAAGCAAAGTGTAAAAAAACCAAATATATATAATACGTTTAAAACAGACATTTGAATCGATTGACAACTTATAACACGCATATATTGATTAGAATTTGAAATAAAGTCACTGCAACATGACACAATTCGCTCGTTTGCTTTTAAGATTATGAGTGTTCGAGTGAATTTGAGTTATGTATACTGATATTGGGCATGAAATAGAAGGTGTGGCGGATATCGAACGTCATCGGAAGTACTCGCTAGACTTACGGACGATGCCAAAACTGTCTAATCAGCAATATCCCGCCCATATAATTGTGACTTGGTGGTTTTTTCACATTTATGCTAAAATCTTGGAAGTTTCATGTTAGAAATAAACCTTAGTGCTTTTCTGAAAATTTTTGGTTAAGAAAATTTCATGAGCTTATAATTGCTAAAGAATACATTTAAATTTACTGAACAACTCGCAAATTTCGATTTATGATTAGCACTGGTAGGGGCGAAACTTGAACTTTTTGTTAGAAAACGGTGGAAGTGGGAGGAATTAAATACTCTGCAAAAAATAAGAATACGAAACATCCTACAGAATTGCGACAGACCTGAGGGCAGGTGCAGGCCAAACAGTTGTTCAGGCAAACCTTTTCAGTAAAACTGAATTCCCAATCAATTTTTCCAAAAACTATTATTGTGTCAAATAAAATTCACTTAATATGGATAACTGTTTTAATCTATCCAAATACATCGTTTTTCAATTTTCCCTGCAAATTAAATCTTTGTCATGTATCATTTTAACAGTGTGAGGTGAGGGTCAGTCATCCCTTCAAAACCATATCAAAAATTTTGATGATTTGACTTTAAGAAATGTGAGCACGCGGATTGCAGTGACTCATATTTCCAGTTTACCTATACGTAATACAAAACAATGTCAAACTCAAACCAAAAGTAAGTATCCAGTAGAAGGTAACGCTAATGACATGCCAGGTACATCGATTAAAGAACACTGGATGGAAGCCAATTACCAACAGTCATACTCATGCGTAGAGCCATATATTGAGCCTTCCTAACACTTTTTTGTGAAATTATGAGATGTCAAGTCAAGACTCAAGATTTGATAAATGACTAAACAAACATTAGACTTTTTATGACACAGTTTTCAGCATTTCATCATAATGTCAAAGATAAAGTGCATCTGTTGTTTTGTTGAAAGTTGAAACCCATATTTAAATTTCGAATATTGTTCATGGAGTTTTTAGATCAGATGTACAATATCGATATATTTTGCAGTTAACTAAAATGGAACTTCTATGTAAAATTGTCTGGAATCCTTAATGTTTTATGAAATCGTTCACACAATCAGATCATATTTCAATATAAAAGTAAAATCTGGTGAAAGTTAGGAGGATTTTATTGAATAAGCTTTTCTATATTCCAGATTTAAAACACAGAAATCGTTCTTCTGAGAGTCAAAATTATTTGGTTAAAATTTCGACTAGTAAACAGATACAAAAATAAAAATTCTTTTATCTCATAAATCAAGCAAAATGCAGTGTTGAATTACTAAATGATAAACAGATGGCGCCCCATAGTTGGTCATGTTGTATCAATACTACGAAGTTCGTTGAAATATGCCCAGTAACTTCAGAAACAACCATCTTTCTCAGCAACCTCAATATAGATACTTTACATAAAACTTGCCTTTACAAGTTACAACAGCAAATGGCCAGCGCAAGAAAAGAATTTCAGGAATTTATTGTTGATACAATTTTGATAGGGTCAACTGTTACAAAAGGCTATAATTTGATCATGCATGTTTTCAAGCAATTTAAAGTTTCAAACTTTTAACTGCACAAAAGCGGGAGGGAGCAGCAGACATTTCTCCAAAACATTTTTTATGTATTGGAATAAATGATATCTACCTACTCCCCCCACCCCCCTTCCTTATTCTTCAGGCTGAGACGACGGTAGGTATTTTTATGTAGACGACCGACGAGAAAGGAGTTTTAGGAGAAGTAAAAACAAAGAAAACCCATCTTCATTAAAGAAAGAAATAGTAAATCAAAAACATAAGTTATATCGAAAAAAGTTTTTTTCGTATTATGATAAGTACAATACAAGAAAATAAAAAGAACGAAACGATTCTATTTTTGAATATTATTAATTCCCATTGAGTGGCCGATAGTCTATACAAAAATAATGTTTTTAATATCCAACATGACTAGTTCTCGAATCAATAGTATTCAAATCAACTGTATTCAAATTGGCATAGAGATGTAGTACTTCCAGGTTACTTTTAAGATTTAAGAGTGCTACTTTATATCCTTGGTAATATAACTCTCCATCGCCAGAATCCCTTTCCCAAAACCAAGGAAAATCATTAGAAAAAGCAACATAAATTGCAGTACAAGAAGACATACGCACAGGTGAAAAGCTAATGGCGATGAAAGATTGAATGGGAGAATGCCTGTGTGACTGATTGTTGTTTAGCGGGAACAAGAGTAAAAAGGCAAGATCGCTTGCCACAAGATATATTTGTTTGTTGGAGAACAAGCTTTTGTTGTGCAGAAAATCAGAAAGCATGCAAAATATACTAAGTTTGGAAAGCGAAGAGAGTAAATTACAGATGTTTTTTACAGGACTACATCACGCAAGCCTTATGTTGAGCCATAATCGCCAAAAGTATTGGTAACAATTGGCATCGATGAATCTCTGTGAAAGTGATTTGGTTAATCAATAAGGTCAGAAGAAATATCATCGACGTTCTCAGGTTTAAAGTTATCAGACGTCCTTTCATTTGCACCACAGTCATCGTTTTGCCCTTCACTAGATTCAATTAGGATAAATTCTTCCTTCTGCTTTTGAAAATGCCCGTAGTCCGCAAGTAGAGGAACTGGTAACGAGTTCGGTAGCTTATTATCACTTGAGGTTTTTGTGTTGGGTGTAAGAGATGTAATAGCCGTGTCGATGTGACTGAATTCGGAATCCTGTTCGATTGTTGAGCCATGAAATGTTAAAGTTCCTTTCAAGATGTCACGAACCTGGAAGCACATAGTGAAGATGCAGGTTGTCAATATATTGTATCAGCATATCGATATATAAAAGACAACTTTCTCAGCTCATCGTTTTACCTGTTTTAGACCAGCCAAGGACAAGTATACAACATCCATACATTTCTCATCTTGAGTTATTTGTTCTTGTAGATGATCTAAATAATAAGCACATTAGCAAAGACACTATATTTTAGAGGTAAATATGTATCAAGAAACACTCAAACTACCAAGTTACGGATTTTCCAGTTTACAAGTTATCTCGTACAGCCATAACCTCATTTAATGCCATTTTGTAAATAATCGTACAGGCATTATAGGAGTGAAAGCCAAAAAGTACATCAAGCACCAATCAATATTTTATATAAAAAAGTGATAAATGAAAGCATCGTACTTATGTAGGTGTCCATTTTAGAACCACAATAGATCGATATTGACTGAAGTTTATCTACTTCCGCTTTGAAATGAGAGACTTGATCTTGAAGACGTTCATGGTCCTAAAAAATATCAAACACACGCTTGTTTAAATGTTCCCTGTTAAATTCATAGACATGGTGATTCAAATAAAATTCTTAAGTAACGACAACTGTTCAACGAAGAGTAAAGGTGTTTTATCAAGTTACTAAGTTTTATACGTACCAAATACTTTTCAAAAAGGCCGCAAAGATATTTTCAAAAAAATTTTTCTCAATCCATTAAAACTATTTAAGTTTTCACGCAGCTGTAGACGAGATTGATTTATTTTATGTAAGTATAATTTTTCAGCCTTTACAAAATTTGAAAAATAATAGAATAAACTTGATTTTATATAGCCACAAATTCCAGAAATAACAAATTTCTCTAAGAAAATAAATTACATGGCGTTTATTCGATTTATCTAATGTTTTTGTTTGATTTAGTCTAGTTTTTGTCATGACTTAGCTTGTCGTTTTTTACTGAGTTCTATTCAAATAAAAATATTGGCATTTCAACGATTGGTTTTTGCATATGAAAGTAAATTAAAGTGCTTTGGAGCACATGCAAATAAGTTTTCATTCTGCAACAAATATGAAATATTCTGTAAAGTAGGACAAATTAGCACATCAGAAGAAAACAATTGCACAGTTTCTACACATCAGAAGAAAACAATTGCACAGTTTCTACACATCAGAAGAAAACAAATACACAGTTTCTACACATCAGAAGAAAACAATTTCACAGTTTCTACACATCAGAAGAAAACAATTGCACAATTTCTACACATCAGAAGAAAACAATTGCACAGTTTCTACACATCAGAAGAAAACAAATACACAGTTTCTACACATCAGAAGAAAACAATTGCACAGTTTCTACACATCAGAAGAAAACAATTTCACAGTTTCTACATACTTGCTGTAAAGCAGTGATATCAGTTCGACTTGGATGACGAACTTTCGATGATAGTTTTGATAAAACGCCGTACTGGCAGATGTTCTGTTGGATCTTGGTGACATCATAAATAAATCTTCATCATCAGGATCACTGGGGAACATGTGGGATGACGGGGATGACTTGTTGTTCTCTAAATTGTTCGCAATATTACAACAATGCACAAAATTCTTCGTCAACAGTGATTAAAATAAACAAAATCATGTGAACATTCACCATAAAGAAAAATATTTCCAGACTCCAAGAAATTTTGCCAGATAGTATAAATATTGAACAAACAACATTACACGAAAATAATTTCGTTCAAAGTTTTTCCATTTCAGCATTATACTTTTGATAAAAACTGATGATGATGAAATCAAGATATTTACCCTTCATTTCAACTGGTTTCTTTTTTCATTACCAGAGGATTTATTTTCCAATCTGTTTTCAGCATTGTATGTATCATTGATTTCCGGTCCTCTCTTTGATGGAATTTGTCTGGTGCCTCGCAAACAGCCTGTAATCCATTCGTTATTCTTGAATGAAAAGCATCTTGGTTCTGCAATAATTCATTTTGATTGAATGAAGAAGTCGCGCATGCGTATTTGAACTATTTTGTAGATTAACTTTGGCCAATGAAAGTAAGCACAAGAAAATTACAGACTTGACTGTAGTTAAACTATAAAAAGTAGCATGAAGAAAGTAGGAACCAGTAATAGTTCTTGGAGAAATAGGAAAAAACTATTATTTGTGAATATCAAAATATATTGTCTCATATTACACAATGCACCATTAAGTCTAAAGATAGAAATTTAACAGAAATACAAATTGTTCAAAATTCCAACAATTTCCACTTAAATTATTCAAAATAGGCAATACATACGGGAAACTCAGGAGCGACAGATGACTTTAGTTGTTCTTTTGCCAGATAATCCATTTTTCTTTTAGGATCAAGCTAGAAAAATATTCAAAATACATTAAAACAAATTCACTTGAGCCGCCAACATCTCAGAGACAAAGTTAAAGTGGAACTATGATCTTCGTGTTTTCTTTCATTTAAGAAAATTTGACTGCGTGGTGTGACTGTAAAAAGAAAAAAATCAATTCGAGGGACTATTTATCTTTTATGGAGGTTTAAAAATGTCATTTTTTATTGCCGTTTTGTTCCACGGCGTGTTTGAGAGCGTGACGTAGATAGGGTAATCTGTTCACATCTTCAAGCATGTGTTTGAATAACAAATAGTTGGTGAAAGTGTTTTCTCGTTGAATTTCAAAGGTAATTATGCGAAAAAGGTTCGTGGCAGTTGGCTGTAGCAATTTTTCAGACAAAAAAAAAGGGGGTATTTCAGTTCATCTTATACCATTTTTTGGCGATGAGCGTGTCGAAATTTCACCGGCCAAATCTCTCACGAAAGACGTTGATTTTATTGAAAAGCTGTCAAATAAACAAATAAATATCTCAAAACCTTCGCAAAACTGCATAACTGTAGTATTATTTTATAGATGTAAACACGTTTCGGAGCTGAAGTGTTACCCTATCTACGTCACACTAGTCGCGGTTTCCGGTTTTTAGAATAACGTTCATGGTACAAGAACGAATCGACTTTAAACGCTCACAAAACAGTAAAATATAAAAAAATTTCGTTGGAAATTTTGCGTAAAACACTCTCTGTGTTATAAAGTTTTACATCATAAAAAAATAAATAAAGTCATAGTTTCACTTTAATAAAATCGGTCAGAGTTACATTATTTCATTTTGTAAAAAAAACAATTTCAGTCAGTTAATAAAATGTTGTTGCGTCATAGTTAGTGACACGAAAGTCCCCGCGGTTATTGACGTGAGCGCGGTTATTGACGTAAAAACGTAACGGTTGGTGACGTCAATGCGTCATAGTTAGTGACGTAAAACGTCCGGGATCTACTACAAATCATCATGTGTCAATGAGACTGGATGCATGATGTGATACTTTACTCACTCTGGTATCTCTCATATGCTTTGCTTCTAACACTACTAATTTAGCATCTTTTCTACAATATGGTGTTTTCATCAATATAGTAATGCATCCAAAATGATCCGATGATAACACTATAAAAAAGATTTCAAACACAAAAGCGTCAGTAAAGTGAGTTGGTAATTCATTGTTAATACAACTCCATTAGTCCGTTAACAACTGTTACTGTAATGGGTTATATCTTAATAAAGTGCACACAAAAATAAATAATAAGTGTTGTTACATTTTCTTCTTTTGCTGCATACCAACGATAAATAGACGTAGTCGACTAAATCCAAAGAGAGACCATCAGCAAATATACCATCCCAAAGGGTTAAAATATCTTCCATCGTAGTAAACTCACGACCATACAACAATCGTACCCATCGTCTAGAATAAATCAACCAGAAAAACGATATAAAGTCTACAAAGTCGTTCTCGATGCAAAGTACAATCTTAACACACTTTGCATTTTCTACGCCTTTTAATTTGTCCCTTCTAAACAAACCCCGCTAAAGTTTTCTCAAAACCGAAATTCTAACAATGTTTTAATTGCTTCGTGTACTGGCTACGACTTTGAAATTAGAAGTTTGGAACTATTACATATCTTGTTATATTAAATACATTTCAAATGAAATCATAGTTTATTAATTAACTTAATTAACTTAAAATAGCTCATTGAAAACATTTCTGATTTCTTTTTGAATAATTTCGCTATATTACTGGAATAAAATCAGCCGTATTACTGGAATAAAATCAGCCGTATTACTGGAATAAAATCAGCCGTATTACTGGAATACGCGATAAAATTAACACTTTGAATGATTAAATGATAAATGATGTTGCAAAAGTTGGAAAAGGACAATGGATAGCATCTGACTTTGACCAAAAAAGAACGGAAACATTATATAAAAACACTGAGTATCTTATTTATTTAAATTTTCTTGAGGGAAAATAAAAATTTCATTAATTTACGTTGTTGTTAGTTTACTCATTGAAAATCTTGAATAAACAAGACACGCTGTTTACCTCGGTAGCATTCAATAAGTGATGAATAATATTAATTATAAAGCATAATCCATGTGGATCCTATAAAGCGCAGTATACATAACAAAATTTATATAAAGCGCACATTCTCGAAGATTTACTCAATATTCACGTCTGAATTGCATATACATTTGAAAGCTACACACTGCCTCTCGCGCCTTCCAAGATTCGTGGACTGATCAATGGTTTTGATATATAACGCTTTTCGAAAAGAAACGGGTGCTCCAGAGTAAGATCCTTTACACAACCGGCATTCAAATGTCATATGATTTACCGTAAAACAATGATTTCGGAAACTTTCCATGACCTTGACAAAATGTCTTAAGAATTTCTGAACAAGACAACTATAACAAAGTAAATGGTTTGAACCCGGGAGTATCGTTACATGTTTGTAAATGTAGATCGTCCAGGTGGGTATAGTCTCGAGAAGGACTGTTTTTGTCGTTGTTGACTGACGTCAGGACTATAACAACCTGGACGATCTACATTTACAAACATGTAACAACTATAACAGCCAATAACATTTCGCCACTCGTCACAATGCAACAGCAAACATCAAAAACCATCAAGGTAATTGCATCATTATCGATAATATATAGATAAACTATTATCTTTCTATAGTTCTATTGACGAGTCTGCATAATATACAAGACAAGAAAAAGTTCAAGTAATACGTACAAGCCATAAAGTTGTGGTTCAATATTCATATCTCGTAAATGGTTGTAAAGAACCGTATCATATTTTTTGAGCATATTTTCTTGTATTCGATTAAGTTTTCGCACGACAGCAGTCGGCTAAAGAGAAACGAAAAAGTTATACAAGAAATTCAGAGAAGCCGAGAATCATTGCTCAACTGACTGGTAATAACGGTTGCTCCTCCATAAAAGGGACAATACTAGGATCAAATGTCTGCAAAGAAAAAATTTGTTTAGAGGAGGAATATCATAGATTAACATGAAGATATGGAATGCTACTGAAGGGATTCCCAACTACCATGGCTATTTTTCATTCTCTTCCTACTGTCGTAAATAACGAAACTCGCACGAATCTTGGTTAAAAACAGCATGAATGTCTGCATGTTTGTTCACATAGCGGGAAAATAATAAACAAGAAACGATGTACAATATTCATAACAACATGATGGGAAGGTAGTTTAAAACATACTTGTTAATGGTAAATTTAAAGAAAATCCTACCTGCTTAGATGGAATGGAAGGTAAGTCTCCTCGTGCATACCACGGCTCAATAACGTCCATCAAACGCTCAAATAAACAGCTGAAAATTGCAACAACACACATTAACCCTTTTATACACAACGTCCAACATATCGGACCATCACGAATTTCGAACAAAGCCCTTATGAGAAAGTATTTGGTAGGAAGGGGGTATATACTCTAGTTTTTATAAGATGTTACCCGGTCAGCTTAGTTTAGATTAGATTTCGGTGGCTCCCTTGTGGGTGTCGTTGGGTAAATATGTCAGACTTTTTAATCGAAAATAAATCGATGCAAAACTCATGCTAACTTACAATGCATCACTTTCGAGGAACTCGGGGTTGATCAAATTCTTCATTAGTTTACTAAAAATAATAAACAAAAGAAATATACGCAACAAGAAAGTAAGGAAACTTTAGCCTAAAACTGATCATTAAACTTAATTTTGATCAAACTAAGCCACCGGATTTTATTGCAATTATTTTAGATGCCGCAACATAAGAAATTCCATTAGGTTTATCTAACCAACAAGATGATCAAGCTAAAATATTCTCGTGTTCTGCAAACTATTGCTTTTTAGCCTTGATGTCCCTGAAGATTTGGACCATTGATTCAAAATGGAACCCCCAGTTCAAATCTGCAAGCTAATATAGACGGAGCAGTGCAAATCAGCAGGCGAATATGAGCCTATGGGGTTCAAATAAGGCAGCAGGTTTGGTTTTTCGTATTCGGACTTTTCTCGCAAATTGTAATGGATTGTGTTCATTTTGTCCCATTGTATTTTTATAAGTAACAAAGCGTTATGAAACCATTCTCATACTATGATTAGGTAAATCAATTTATGAAAATAGGTAATTGCCAATTTGGTAATTGCTTATTTGTTTAATGCTCATTTCAAATGGTAGATTTTTCGATTACAGCTCATGCTGTTATTTCATATGAATAGTGATACGACTTTTGCCTTTACATAGTTCTTTAACTCCAGCTCTTACCATGCTGTTGTATAGCTAAGACATGGAAATATTTTCATTGAATTTTTTTAGTCTACGTATTTTTCAACATGAATTATTTTAACGTGTTTCTTTTTGCCAAAATTCAAAATATGAAGTCGATCGTAAAAAATATGCTCAATAAGTGAAAATGTAAACCAAACAGCCGAACTCCGATCTTCAACACACAGTACAAAAATATTCTTAGTTTCCAAGCCTCGAACGCTAGCCTGATCTCGTCACTTACTTGTCCGAACTATCCAGAAATTCATATACTTCCGAATCATATTCCAATACAAACACGATAGGAGCCAATATTTCATGCATTCCCTTAAAAAAAAAGTCAGAATGAAAACAAACAGGGAAATTTCAAACCAACATTTATAACAGCATCATGCGAAAAGATGACATGACACGTGACAAAAAAATGAAACTACATCAAAAATGATTGATAAAAATCTTTGTACAGAAACTCCTGTCAGTTTAAATCAACCAATCAATCATCAAATGCTACATCTCAACTTCACAAAAATCTTAATCAACACGAGATTTTTAAACACAAGATTTGCCAATATGTTTTTGTAAAATTTGTCGTCTAAAACAATTGTACAATGGTTTACAACGTTTTTCTATTTACGAAAAAAATCGTGTGCATGTAAGAAATATCAGCAAAAAATGCTATCATTTTTATATGTAATTTCTCGTGCATTTATAAACATATCTAAGTATAAGATCTCGTACATTTGACGGTAAAAACATACTTGTTTGTAGCCAACGTTAGGATTCGTTCTTGCATAACAAAACAAAATATGCAGCAAAATGTCTCTAGAAAAGAATTACGTAAGTTTGAGAAACAACTCCAATATAAAAAAAATCTGCTATTAAAGGGCGAACGCAGACAACACGTAATGAAGAGATCTTCTACTGATGTAGAACTCTTTACGACTTACTTTATTTTTTTAGATTGGAAGTAATGCATTCCAGGAAATCTATGTATAACAAACAAAAGTCAAGCTTTTTATTATGTAGCTATAGCAATACAATCATGGTTTGGATATGGTCGAATATACTAACAGCCGATCAAGGTCTTGATGAATTACTTCATGTAACTTTTTATCTTCGAAGTATTGAGTCCAAGGACTCTGCAAATGTACTATAATGTATAAATTGGTTTCCCAAAAGCATAAAGTGCATTTTTATTATAAAATTATTTTTATAGTTTAATGAACAAGTTGTGTATCTTTCATTTGCATCTTTTAACTTACATCACTTTCTTGAGACAATGGATTAAAAACTTGTACATTTTCTTTACTCAAAACGTTAGAATATGGATCAACGAGCAACTGAAAAATCAGCAAAGAAAAAAATTACATTACATAGAAATTTCATTACAGTTTTAAATATTTCATACAAAAACGTTTCATTATGTAAGTTTTTTCTGCTTTTCAATCCTCTCTTATTTGGCGAAGAAAATATTTTTACTGATTATGAACTTTAATAAAACATTTAATAAATTATTTTGGATATTTTAAATTGAAATTTGAAAATCAATCAAATACTTGTGACAAGCAAAACGTGTTACCTTGGACTTAAGGTTTTTGTATGTTTTTCTTGACTCACTAACTGCATCTAACCAACAATTTGAATCCTCAGGAAGACACTCTAGAAAGATCTAGCAAACCAAAATACATTTAATAAAGAGAAGGTTAAATCCCAACATGATCAAATTACAGTACAAGGGAGTATACTGTATGAATATCAAAAAATGTTGGGATCACTTAATGTCCCAACACAAACACGCTATACTAAATATATTATATCCACGATGTAATTACCATTATTTACAAGTTTTAATAACAATTTCAAAAAAAATCAGCTACAAGTTTCCTCTTAAATCCCAATTTAAAATTTAACACATTCACTTTCAGGCTACATAGAAACAAAATATTTTATTGCTTCCAATTTGATCATTATCTTAGAAACTTCAACTGTCATTGTGAGAATTTAAATCACATTCTGAAACTCAGGAATCAGTATTATTAGTAAAGAAAAAATGTTCATACTCAGTCAAGCAACCTTATACCAAACTATATGTATGGAACCTAGATGTAATCAATAGAAAACTAAGTTGACTACTCAGACAAAAAGTAATATATATCCTATTTCATCATCCATAGGGATACAGAAAAAATAACTAAACATTATACTGTAAGGATATCAAGATACCATAAATTTCAGACTCTGCTGTCTGTACATAGCACAACACAACACAAAACATGTCATATATTACACTCTGTGATATCTTATCTTAGATGGCGAATAAAGACTCTGACAAGCTAAGCTGATAATGAAATGATGGAGAGGAAAATTGGCTGTGAAAGAAACAGCTGCAGTTGTTGTGCACAAATACAACCAGAATACAATTGCAGTGAAGTGGAAGATAAGACTGTGTGTTGCTCAAAAACTTCTGAAGAAGGTAAAAAAAAACAAGAATGGTAAATGACCCGAGTGGAGATAGCTCAATTAAACATCTTTGGAAAACATTCAAGAAGTTCAAAAGTAACATTGCATAGAAGTATTCAAAACAGCCATCTTTGTTGTATGGAATTGTATTGATGGCCATGAAACATATCGACTGGTTACATTATTGATAAATGTCTTAGTACCATAGTAATCATTGCTTGCTTGTGTGGAATAAATGCTTGAACAATTGCTGAATGTAACATGAAAAATGTATACAACTGTGAAGAGTCATAAAATACAACATTTCTACAAAATTATAGTATTTAGGGACGACCAAGAACTTTTGCACAGTACTGTGTATATCATATATTATCAAGACATATGTATGTCATACATACACTTGTAATCATATCAAATGAAATATTATCATGTATGGTTATGACTGATTTCTACAAAGAATTGTTCAATACACATACCCTCCAACATACTCCACGAAATCTAGTACAATCTCTTAATCTGCCATCATAAGCAAGATTTTTTAGCTAAAATAATAAAATTCAAAATCAACTATCGAGAGAGTACATATATTGTCATTATTGTGTAAAATCTACAGAAAAAAATGCTACACAATTTTGGCATGTGATTTTCAAATCATTTACTTGTGAAAAACATATTAAAGTAATTGCATGCATTTTACCAGTACATTAAGTTTAAATAAAACATGATATTTGAGCATGATATTTGAGCTAAATGTCCACAAACAAACTAATATACTCACTCCCTTTTTGAAATTTTCACATCCGAATAAAGTCTGCCATTCACACCTACAAAGTTTTACTACAATTATGATTTTGTGTTAAAATGGTAAATAGCAGCTCTTCATCTGCATGGAAAACACGATTACATTGGACTGATATTTACAATGAGTCAATCACTAAAGAAAGCCTATTGGCCAATTTGATTAACTGCTTTCAAATTATGCACATTAATCGGCTCATTATTCAGCAGTACTGATAAATTGGCTCATCCCAATAAATAATGTTGAAAGACACACAGAGAAGTTTTTCTGCCTTGGTTTGAATAATCCTGGTAATATGATTTTGAATTCAACTCCACAAAGATATGTTATCTATAATAATAACTTGATTAAAGTTTTTCAAAGTTGGGTATATTTTAGGAAATCACTTCTTAGATTTACTTTGGCACATTCAGCAAAAAGACAAAGGAAAAAATATGATAAGTTCTTTTCTAATGTGCCTACAACATACAGTATATCATAAGAAAACATCATTTTGGTCAGTTGCAGAGCTGCCAACTTTGACAAGTCTGAAATAAGAAGAAATTTCCTAATAACCTTGAATTAATGGTGATATGAAAATATAATGGGAAAAAATACTGTTTAACATCACCAGTTTCAACATGCATGCTTCTGTTCATAGTCTTAACCTCTAACCAATTAGCCACAAAAACATTATGGCACGAAACACTTGTATGGTAGTTGAAGGATTCTGCATAAATAAGGTTGTCAGATGTTCTAATCTCTTGGAAGAGTTTCAAATTTGCTGTAACAAGGACACTATTTTGAATATTTAAGTTTTAGTTCAGCAATGAATCAGTGTATGATAGTCTAATGGAACATTTTAGCTCCCTGACGGAGATAGCACCTTTCTACAAGGAGACTCCTGGCAGTGAAAAGATAGTTGGCAGGTCTGCAGTTTTCCTTACTTCAATTTAATCCCAAAACTTTTGATAATGCAGCCTTTAAAATTTCTTCTGGCAAATACCATTTGCAACAAGTGTTTCATTGTTTCATCAGCAACCAGTGTTTTCCCTTAGCTATAAGATATCATTCATAACACACATACGTACTCTAAAGTGTCTTTCGTCACAGCAGGTATGTACATGTAACGTTCATGTTCCTGCAGTTCTTCATTTTCATTTGCAGGATCATTTAAGTCAAACTCCCCAAGTTTTGCACTCAAAGGATCATCCATACCAACATCTATAATGGCAAAAAATCAAATGTCAAGTATATGTTCATAGTCAAGATTTACTCATACCACTGCAATTTAAAACTTGTCATGTTTTTGATAAAATTAGGTACCAGCTATACATCATAATACATGTCAACGGTCTGCGAAGCCAAATTATGAAATGATATAAAGCACTGTAGCTTATATTTAAATAATATAATCCATTTAAAATAAATATTGCTAAGTACATCACGTATAGAAACATTGTATGTAATAACTATTATATCAAAGTAGATTAAACATACAAAATTGGTGCTTAAAACAATGTTGTAACAGGAAATACTATCCGATTTTTTGCAATAAATTGATCAAAAAATTGGTCACAGGATTGGTAAGTAAGCCATTGCATTGATTTTCATGTTTACCGAAAACATTGCATTCCTGCTTTGCAAGTCAAGACAATGTGAACTTCCAGCGAAAGTTTTTATCACTCGATTCATTGCCGAAGCACAGTGCACTCTTCTTGGTCTTCTCGTTATTTCATAATTCACTCTGTTTCGATTCTTATAAAAGATTCGTATAGAAGTACTTGCAGCTATTTCATACCTTTTCGTCGACTTGCTCTTGTTTGAAACTCTTCGTACGTTGAAAAAGTGCCAAACTCTTCTGGAGCTTCGTCAATTTCTTCAGCAGATAATATATTTGATGAATATTCATGTTTTATTACTTCAGTCATATTTGATCAGAGTATTTTGATTCACCGAACCGAATCTCCATATCGGCCAATCTCCGCAATCTCTGTAAAAAATGTGACTTGTGTAGGATTAATATATTATATGTAGTATAAAATAACGTAAAGTTAAACATCATTCCAGCGATGCCTCATTAGCTCAGGGGTTAGAGCACTGGTCTTGTAAACCAGGGGTCGAGAGTTCAAATCTCTCATGGGGCTACCATTTCTTTTCTATGATTTTTTCCTCTCTTCAAGTGCTCTAAAAGTAGATTGTTTTGCCTTTTAAAAAACAATTGATTTTTTTGTACTCTTTAGCCATGATATAACTTTCTAACTATTTTCTCAATATGACAAAATGAATCAAAGCGTGCAATTTTTAACTCGAGTGACTCGAGCGTGGCAGCGCTCCTCCCATTACCGAACGCTTTGACACAGTCACACAGCAATGAATAGTTTCTTACGACGTTATGAAATATTTCTTGACTAAACCCACTAAACCAGGTATTGACGAAGCGCGTTTGCTTCTCCCCTTCGTCAATAATGCAACATTTGTTTTGCTGTGTTTGTATATCTAAGTTACAGGAAAAAAACTTTGAAAATCTAGCCAAAGAAGTAAAGCTGAAAATGACGAGCACTATTTATCAACACAAACTCTGCAAAATAATGCCAACACAGTTGCCATTATGTTTTACTTATAAAAATTTCTGGTCCTTCATCATAGAACGGGTGCTTTCAATAAAACTAGTAATTGTGGTAAATTCTTCAAATGGTGCTGAATGCTAGTAGTCAAGATCGCAATGTTTTCACCATTGATCTTCACTCTGCACAAAAAGTAACATTGTTGTGCCTGCCAGTGGGGTTAGCAGCACAACTGGCTACCCGTGGCAAAAATATCAAAAGGGGGCCTCCTTCGATAAACATATTAAAATCTATAACCACCACAAGATAATACCATCTACCTCCTTAACCTTATTCTAAAAAATAAAGTAATAATTTATATAGGAATTACTGTAATCATAGTATCAGCTGTAAAGAACGCATCAGTCGAGACGCTAAGAGGTTACTCTAAATAGAAATTAATACAGATTGTCCGAGCTCGCAGTTTTAGGATGTTCGTAAGTTTATGCTGAGGAATTTTCCTTGTTTTAATCCACTGTATAATAATCTTTTGATCTGACAGGGCCCCCCTTAGGCCAGGGGGCCCGTGAGCTCACCCATCTGGGCCCATAGTAGGCACGACGCTGGTGCCCGCATCTTTCAACTCTTGCAACTACAGTTTTAATATGATTGTTTTAATATGACTGTTTAATGTAATTGTTCAAGGTGTAAGATAAATCAACCAGATTTTCCATGTTGTTCACTCCACAATTTTCACAATTACATTGGAATGACAGCCTCTTTTGGTCGGTACATGATCTTCTGCTTCTCTTTTAGTCCTGTTTTCTTCAGTGGTCTTTCCAAAATTCTTATTGTTACTTGGGAGTGGTACGAAGATTTCTAAGACATTCACTGTAACCAATAGCAGTCAGTAGCCACTTCTTTGATGCATGTAGTGATTTCTCACATTTCTAACTATATTACATCGTCACGTTTAGTCACGAATGTGTACTGAAATATACACGATATAGCAATAGCATTGAAATGCAAATGCGCTTCTTTTTTCAATTGGAAGAATACCACAACTATTCGGTTGATATCTAATTTACCGAGGATTTGCAGGAAATTGCGCTGAAAATTACCCAAACAAATTGTGCGAAATAGTTATGCTCTCAAAATTGTTTTTACAGAACAACTTCCCAAAGCGAATTTTAGTCATATCTTAAAGGTGAAAATTTTCAAAACGAGCAACAAATATTATAGTTAAAAATATTAAATTTCTTGCACGCCACTTCAACTCAATCTACTAGATTTTTGTACTAAAACAGCTAAAATCAACAATTTTGCGCGCGCTTGTTGAGAGAAGCTCACAGTAAATAAAAAAGTTGTATGTTAAGTTTTTCCAATATCCATTTCTATTAAACTGAATCACTGTCTTGCATACGAATCGCATTCTCATTGTACACCTCCCGGCCAAAAAGATATTGTGAGGTGGCGAGCAAAAGCGAAACAGCCGTGGATAGCATTACGGAAGGATAAGTTTTAAAAAGAATAACAAGAGTGCGATCATAAGAATGTTGTCTTATTTACTATTTACATTTATTCCATCATTTTTACTGATAAAAAAGTATACATTAACTTAGTTTGTCCACTTTACTTTATATTTATACAGCTCCAATAAGTAGTTCACCATTTTGACAAATGCTAGTATGGATCCTGAGGCGGGATGTTCGTACACTGTTCAGCTGAAACTGCATTTTAGATTTTCTTTTAAAACGTATAAATGACTTGTATATTCAAAAATGAAATTGAAAACCCTGAGTGTTGTATGGTGAATGTGGCAGGATAATGACATGCTTTGATAAATACAGCATTTACTCTAAACCAGTTACGAACAACCGGCTCTAGGCGTTCAAATTTGACCGACACTACTCTAGTTTTCATTGTGCTCAATGAAACAGTTAATTTTTGAAAAAGATTTATGAATTTGACACAGAAAAGCAAGACTGTCTTTCAACAACTTGCATTGGCCAGTTTAGCAGAAGTCAAATGTAGAATTAACTTATTCATGGTAGAATTTAATTCTCTATATACTTCAGCATTACGGTCTTTAGATATGCAAGAGCAAATGAAATGCAAAATTTTCCATGAGAAAAATTATACTCCACCGCACGTAGACGAAATCAAGTTAAATCAATTGGTTTGGCATACTTTACAACGATAAACTGCATTAACGATTTGCATCATCGGCGTCAAGCTCACATTTTAAGTTTAAGGCATGTAAAATTTTCTTTTAAATGCCTTGATGCACTCTTTTTACAAATGAAAATCCTTTTCACACTGGAATTGTTAAGGCGCAGAAATTGTTGTCAACCTACATGTGCCATTGACTTGATAACATGAGATTGTTTTATCAAAGCTCAACATTCTGTGGACTCAAGATTTCTCTAATCCTTTTCAAATCCAACCAAGTGCGAAAATTTACATTTTTATACTATAGCATGACTGAAAATCCAACCACGCAAAGTATAATCTCTTTCTGACGTACGTTTAGTCAAGGTCGCTCAATAGAGAAAAGAAATCAGGTATGGACATTTCAACGCACATCCATTTTCTGCTATTCGACGCAATCTTTCTTTTATAAAATTAAACATAGGCAATGAGAAACACTAATGTTGACGGTAGGATGTTGAAGGTTGATCAAGACAAGAAATGCTTCATTTGATCTTCCCGTGAGATACATATGTCGTTCATGTTTCCCAAGGAAAGATAATGCAGGAATTTAAAATATAGTTTAGTAAATAAAAATGCCAAGTGTAAAGTACAATGACGGCCAATTTTAGATAAATCAAAATCATTGGTGTCGTATTAGCGGTAAAGGTTGCATTAGGCGGATGCATGAGGACGTTGATGGTGAAATAGGAGTAATGCCGTGAGCCATTTGATGACAAATGTTGTGGATTGAGGTATCTGTGAGAGTGCAATATACAAAGATGCCAAACATGACTAAATAGGAGTGATGTCGTCTAGCAGGACAGGACATGCCTCTACATATGATTTGCAGTAAACTAGTGTGACGTCGTGTGTGCAAGAAAGTACAGGCAATATTCCTAATATATTTACTTTAGGTACGTGTCACGTGATTCCTTGACCTTTCACAGCGGGAGATCCATTTACTAAGCCCGGGATTTGATTGGGAATTTGGTGTATCGGACTGGTCAAAATGGTATCAACAGAATTACTACAAAACAAAATGAAAATATAGGAAAAAAAGTTTGTACAAATATTTTTACTACTACAAATATTTTTTTAGAAAACACAAGTTAATATAAGACAATTGAATATAACTAAATGATTACCTTCTATTCAGGACATTATTCGTTTGACCGTGCCGATTGATTGACAAACGGGAAGTAACAGGAATTCGACTATTTGAAAGTGCTCCGATTTTGTTATTCCCTTTAAGTACGTTATTTGTTAAATTGATATTCGTTGTTGTCGAAGGGAAGTTCAATGCATAAACAGCCTTCACAGGAGCAGTGGAAAATGTGTTTCGACTAGCGGAAGAATTGCCTTTCCATAATAAAGATGAATTGTTATTGCTAACCGTAGGTCCATTAGTGATTACATCATTCTTGTCTCGTTCAACGGGCGAAATATCATCTGTACAATCGGAGTTTTGGTGAACACCGTTGGATAAAGAAGAATTGAGTGTGAATGTTGAAGTAGGTTGGGTTGAAAATGTTCGTCTAATTTTACGACTAGGTCGATAGTCCTGAATATCGTTATGTTCTTGTTTTTCTATTGCAACATCTTTCACGCATTCATCAAGAATGGAATCATCATGAGCCAAAGTTATATCGATTGAAGATTGCATAAATCTAGGTTTTCGAGGTCGGTAGTGTCTCCTAAATGGTAAAAAATACACTTCAATCAGGAATTTTGTGTTTTCAATATTCAATTGACTTGATACGCTGCCCTGAGACGTTATAGCAGCATTTATAAGAGATTGGCTGAATACACAATGTCATATCGATTTGTAAGAGGTATAAAATCCAATACTCGAATTGTATAATTAGACGAATTTGTTTGACATAATAGAAATGTGGCACGAAATTCAGAGTTGAGGTAAGGCAAAAAGACGCAACTTATTTATCATCTGCACATGTAGGAAAAGTTTCCAAAGTTTCGACATGAAAATAATCCAGTTGTGCGATTGGGGGCAATAAAGTTGTAATATACTCTACAGGTAAATCGTTCGAAAACTACAAACTCAATTGTAATAAATACATCCTTTTCTAGGTTTCAAAAACGCAATTATCAATGAAAATATATGACATTTCAAAACTTCTCAGTTTGATCAGACAAATCATTATTTTTGTTCATTTATAAAAAAGAAAAAATGTTTAAAGCATACAAACCAGCTAGAAGGTTTCTGTTCATCATTATAACGATCTGATTCGTAAAAACTATTTCGCAACGATACTGATGAATCTAGAAATGATCCAAGTTCTTCTAAACGATCATCAAGGGAGGAACTTGTACGATCGATCAGCACCCTAATTACAATAATACATTTGACCATACACAAGTGGTGAACCTAAAATGAATCTTTTTAGAATATTTTCTTCTCCCAAAGCTTTTATCAACATTTAAATTTGTCAATATTTACAAAATCAAGACATCTACATCGTAACGACTACATCACGGTAATAATATAAATAGAGGTTGGTTCAAAAAAAATTATTTCCTCAAACCTTCCCCCTCTTCCTAAACGTCTTCTTGCATAACCGAGCAATCTTGAAGGTCTAGATAATGACGTCAATGTGTATCTGTAGCGCGGATGTCCGGGACATTCCCAAGGCCAACTACCTTCGAGTCGAGGCTAAAAAAGTTGCATTTTCATAAGCTTAACAAAACTTGTAAGACTGCATGAAGTCAAAGTAATAATGATCGGTGTCTTAGCGGAGGATATTTATTACTTGTACTCATTGGAAATCATTTTTAAATTGAAAAAGAAAAGCTACTGACTGGCACCTTCCACATAACAGTTGTCAAACATACATCATTCACAAACTTTACATATTAGGTATTAAAAAATTGGAAACGAAAATACATATTCGTACACTAATATTTAAAAGATAATTTCGTGAAAAAGAAATGAAATCAACGCGATAGTTCACAAAATATCACAGTATGTACACCTACCGCAAGGTATCGACAACCAGGCCTTCTTTTAAAGGAATATATACCATCTGGTTCATCTGAATCATCATCTGGTTCGAGAGGCAGTTCAGGCTAGGTAATGCAAAAAGTCACATGCATAATCAAAAATTTTCTAGGGATATCACACAATTTACTTTGAAAGTCGTTCTGTACATTAAGTAACGCCACGTTGTTGAATCACGTAACTAAGGGAAACGAAAAAAGAGAAGCAAATAAAGACTTACTTGATTGTACGGACTGCCAATATTTTGAGGTGTAAGTCGTTTTTTCCTGGAAGATAAGGATATAAGTTAGACTAAAGTTGACCGGGCAACAGTGGCGTGCTGAGAAAGTTTTATCAGAAGAAGCCATTAATAAATATACACCAAAAAATTGGCGTCCTAATGTTGCTTCAAAGTTGAAATAATATTATCGTTTTTTCAATAACGATCAGCAGTTTTATACATGGGCCTTGATTGATTCTGATGTGAGACTTCCAAATGTGGTAATAATCTGCTCCTTATTCAATAACATTAGTCGTTCGATTTAATCATTATATAAAATTAAAAATAAATTGTCAATCATGTTTTTAAATAAAGAATCTCTTGTGTGGTAGCAAGTGCAATGCATTTGGAAAAAAACCGTTGGAAATTTCTTGCATCAATTTATCGCCTATGAGCGCTGTAAATACATATCTTTATATACAGTAACTTATCAGCAGAAATAACAGATTAAAAATTCGGCACCTATATTGATTTCTGCATCCGCCCGCACGAAATGAAGCATTTCTACACACCCCACTGTTGGGCAAGAACCAACATTTAAGTACGTATAAGAAACAATGAAAGTAGCGAAACACAGTCAGTATGAAATACCTTAACTCGGCCAAAACATCTCTTCTCAACTTAACATCCTCTGTCTAAAAATTAAAAGACGATGCCATTGTAAATATAAAGTTATAAAATCCAACACAGAACAAAGCATTTCCAAATAAAGTTGCAGTGCTCCCCACCTGGCTTATGTAATGCAAACCTCGGAGACGTTTGTGAGAACTCTCGAGCACGTACAACCCTCGATCTTCGGTTTCGGGCTTGCACTGATCAGCTCTCGAGTTCTCCCAAAGGTCTCCTCGATTTGCATAAGGCTGTGCAAATACAGTAAACATCTTTTATTTGCAAATAAATGTCACATGAGTTGTGTGACTAGTGTCCTACCGTTCGTCTTTTTCATGTGTTTCAGAGCCAGAAGAAACACGATTACCAGAAGCTGCTGTTGTTCCAGTGTAAATAGGAACATGATTGTGGTCTTGAATTTTCAACATCTCCAAACATTGAGTAAACAATTGTCCATCAAAGTCGCCGCATTTGTATCTGGAAGAAAAAAAGCAATCATGAAACGATGTTGACCGGCAAATAATGGCTACTGACGTGAACCTATTATTGTCGATTTCAGTTAACTTTTCAAATGGCGGTTGCCAAGTTATTTTCTAATGTTGGCAATTACATTTCCAATTATGGAATATTCGATATGAACTTGTCAACTTAAGTTCACAAGTTGTGTACTTGAGTACTGAAGTTGTGAAGTACTGGCATACGCGAAAGGTCTGTGGTGTAGGCAAGTAAAAGCTTAACAAATTGTTCACTGATAATGGCAGATGAATTGGAGGAGTTTCTTAATAGTTTCAAGGATAAAATTGGGCAACAAAGTCATGAAGTAATAGAAAAAGCTTTGAAAGAAAATGAATTTTCTTCACGACTGTCGCTGAAACTGTTAAGGAATGAAACCCTTGATCATTTTTTGAAGAATACGAGCTTGCGCTTGGGACAAGGAAAATTTTAGAATTTCGTCTCGATTTGCTGCGGGAGCAGTCACCGTTATTAAAATTTTTAAAATCTCAATCGAAAAGCTGTCTTGACGTCACAATAAAAATAAATGTATAAATTTATAATGTTGCGTTTAGCTATCTGAAATAGGATACATGTATACCCGCTAAACGTTCATTAGAAAATCGGCGAAGGACAATCGAAGACTCAATTCATCACAACAAACAAGAGTTGGAAGAGATGAACGTGCAATTAGAATCAATGAATTTAACTGTTCCTGAATTAC